TTGGACAAAATAGAATTTGACGTCTGAATTATCTCGTTATTTAGCAGGTTATTAGGCACGTCACTACACTGTTTTATTTCATCGATTGTCTGAGTAAAACTTTCAAAATTAAAATAAAAGAGAACATATTTTGACATTCTAAACATTAGACTATAGTGATCACTATAAAATAATAAAAAAAAAACGTCAAATCACAGTTACTAAATAAATGACAGCTGCGTGGAAATAAATTGAAATTTTGTTGAAATAGGTGAACGCGTCGGGTCACGATGAGGGCAAGTGCGTTAAAAGCGGCGTTTAATTGGATAACAAAAATAATCGAGATCGACACACATACAGATAAATTCAGAGTGGATTCGAGTTAGCGTGGTCCATGGCGTGATTGTCATATTAAAACTTTATTTGGTGGAAACACATTGACCAAGCCCTGATTCTTATTTCATAAATTATTACGCAGATCAAGCTGCAAGCATGGAGGTAAAAAAAGAACAGAGGTGTGAATTCGATATTCAACACCAATCACCAACTATTCAGAAACTTTTAGCCTTCGAAAATGAAAACAATTAGCAGTGTTTAAGAGCTGTGTAATTTCCTGTTTGTCCGACGCTTCGTTTTCGTGTCACTGTCAAAATTATTGCTACCTTTTACTTAACAGGGACTAAATGGTCTCTATAAAACGATAATCAGGATCACAAAAAAAGTCAACTCATTTGAAACACTTGCCAGACGTCTCTCTCTCTTCTAAAATCCGCCTCGGTGATCATGGTCCAGAATCTATTTCTTTCAAAAGTGTTGCGCCAGGTATACGTTGTACGCGTTTCTCTTTAAACCTAGTTTTTTTTTTTCATGGACGAGGACAGTTTTTCCAAAAAAAGGAATCTGAGGTTAAGTGGCTTTCGTACCCTGATGTCGCACCTTCGGATCGATTAGAAACGTGTGAATACTTACAATATGACTATACGTTTCACTGCAACTGCCCACACCACAACTGTTGTTGTCACAACATCTAAAAACTCCCTCTCAAAAACAAAGAAAATAGACAAAAAAAAATGACTGAAAAAATGTATATGGTTTAAAAGTATACTGAATGACCAGTGTTATTACGGCTCAGGGGTATGACGTCCTCTCACATGTTGGCATTTGGTGGCGCACTTTCGGCGAGAGTCGGAAATCCGGAAACAGTCGACCGTTTCAGGATAGGTGGGCGTGGCTACAACACGAGAAATATCCCAAATTTACTTGGATACGAGTAATCATTTTCAGCAAAAAAATCAATAACTGCCCATTTCAGTGGGACACAGATCTAAAATGGGAAACGTGAGGGTGGGCATTGCACAGGCACTTTAACAAAGCATGTTCCAATAATGTTTGTTTTTCTCTTTTTCTATAGCAATCTAGGGTAAATACTGCAGAGATGGAAGCCGGGTTGAATAATGTGTTACCAGGATTCATAAGACCTATCATAGATGATAAAAGTACAGCTACACCTGGTACTTTACCACTGTTAACAAGAGGATCCAAAAGAATGGGTAAGTATATTATAAACCGCAATTACTGTAATCAGAATATGATATATCAACTTTGATTATGTTTATCGAGATTTGTAGTTAATCTTCTTTAAGCTCTATTTTCATGAAATTTTCTTAGGTCATCGTGTTTCTCAGTAAAATGAGACAATATGAGAAATTGTAAACAATTTTAATTTTGTGAGTGACGTTTTCTCTGCAGTGTCATTGATTTTCTCAAATTTTTTTTTCACAAATACAGTAAAAGCTTCAAAAATTAAGTATTTTTTATTCAAATACACCTGATTTTAAGCTGATGTACAATGTAGCTAGGAGAAATTTCCCAGTGAGGGGGTGTCTGCATCACTGGACCCTTAGAAACAAAATGTGAAAAAAGTCTGCAACTGAGTTGGATGTTAGCAGCTTAATTTTTTTACACATGCCCAAGTGGTATATTATTGTGCTTTTTACAACTGTTTGGAAATTAAAATTTACTAGTGCATCAGGTTTTTAGTCACTTAACTAGTCAATTATCTTCCATAGCCTTTGCTACACATAAACATAAACGCATTTCAATTTCTCCTGTTTTAGATCGCCATGCTCTAAGTCACGGTGACAAACCACCCAACTCTTGGAGTCCTGTAAGTGAAAAACTAGGTGACTCAATAGTGGCAATATTGAGAAGAGATCCATATCGAATGAGTGATGTATGTAGAAAATTATCAGGCAAGCAAATACCTAGTAATCTGAGGCAGTATGTATGGACTGAACTACTATTTACAAGTGATAGAAGTCTGGTCAGTAAAGAGGGGTAAGTTGACTTGTTTAAATATGCTTGCTTTCACCTCATTGAATGATTGAGGATAAATTTCTTATTAAATTAAAACCATAGTATGTAAAAAAATAAAACCTAGTATAAATGCCAACCATAGAGTGTATCATGTCATTAATTATCCTAGTAAATACTAATAAAATTCTTATAATTTCTACAGAACTCATTCATTTAGTGGGAGAACTGTCAAAATGAATTTCTCATTCCTAATGCATTTATTATATACTGGATCATTCAAATATGATTTGTTTTTTGACCACTGATACATAATCAGGAGAATTTCTATATTTGTGGAATTTCTTGTAATTGTAATAAATGTAAAAGTATTTTTACATACGTTGACCTGGATCATGAATATTAGAAGAAGAGATATATTGAATATGTAAAGAACTTTTCTCACATCCTATTTTGTTCTACTGTACATGTATATTGTGTTATAATGGTGCCTGTAAAATGAAATGCATTTTCCAAGCTTTGACTGATTACTGTTGTTGTTAGCTTGAGGAACCTGAAATTGTTGATACAACTCATTCAGCTAATGTTTGGAGAATGCTCTCAGAGAAAACAGTTAGCCCTGCCTTTTAATTTCTCCATTTACAGTTCATCATATCTCCTAACATTTTGGTTTTGTTTATTTTTCGAAAGAAATATTGAGAAAATATTAAGGAATCGATTTGCTAAAAAAGTTTCAATGGGAAAGATTGATTTAAAGTTGAAGAAAGCTACATATACACCAATACATGGTCTAATATGGAATTCAGTTGTGGAGGTATGTAAACTCAATAATTTTAATTTGCTGTTTCTGCCAATAAGTAAAATATGCTAAATTAAATCTATGTGAACATTCATTGAACTCATTGCTTCCCTGCCAAGTTTATGAACTTTAATAAAACCAGGTGAAATAGCTCAAACCATTATAACAACGAAATAAAATGCCAGTGAAAATATATGATTTTTATGCCTTAGACTCGTATAGATACTCAAGATCTTGTTGAGACTGACGATGTCACATGACTTGTTTTTGCCCCTCTAAATATTGGTTTATTCGTTGCTATCATTGCATTCACTGTTTTAAATTCCATGGTTACATATGTACAGTTGATACAGTGTTGATAGAGATTGGAACATTAAGCAAAGTTGCTAAAAACAAGTCTCATGGCTTGATCACAACAAAATTTTATAAAATTTTATTTTGATTGCTATAAAATTCTTGTTTGTTCTTTTTTTCATTACTTACTGTATGTTTATTGTATTACTGTTTGTATACCTGATTTGTAGACTACATGTATGTACCTAGTGGTTGTGAACAGTAATACAATTTTTGTTATTTTTCCACTCAAGATGTATGACAGCATTCCAAGCATGCAGCCTTACCAAACAAGACTTTACATGAAGGAATGTGCCAATGCATTGAATGTACTATATACATACAATAGAAGTTATGAACCTTACCTTATTCAGTGGCTGTTCCCATTACAATTAGCATATCCAAGCAGACAGGAACAAGGTATGTTGATAGATTTCTTGTTGTACTTATTAGTAAATGTAGCAAATGTAAATGTGTTGCATATATATCATGGTTGCCAGATGGCACATGATGTAGTGCTGACAGTAATATCAGTGAATGACTTTCAGAGATGTTAATGTACCGTATTTATCCGGGTATAAGCCCAGGGTCTTGAACATGGAAAATTGCCAAAAAGAAGGGGTGGGCGTTTGCCAGGAGATCCCCGGCAAAAAAAACGAAAATTCGCGAAAATCGGCAACACGCAGTTCGATCGAACTGCGGCAGGGAATAGAACGGCAAATGAAAACATGCAACGGAAATAAATGAACAATATGCAACACTAGAAGTAGAACAAAAATAATGTATTGCTTATAATGTGACAAAAAAACAGAAATAATAAAAATCGACAGTGAGGAATCATTTAATTAGGATTTTCCCGCCGACAAACACGCGTGAACTCAAAATTAATTAAAATGTCAGGGGTTAAACTGCGTAAAATGATTTCCGGTCTCAACAAATTACAAATCAACCGTCATACAAGATCAATAATAATTTACAAATTTACACAGTAAAAATTATAAAAATTCATAGCTGTTTGAAATAACTTCTCAGATCTTTATTTGTACGTTCATTGCCATCTTCGT